CATCTGCTGCTGCTGCATCTGCTGCAGCTGCATCTGCTGCTGCTGCATCTGCTGCAGCTGCATCTGCTGCGCTGCATCTGCTGCTGCTGCATCTGCTGCAGCTGCTGCTGCTGCTGCTGCAGCTGCTGCTGCTGCAGCTGCTGCTGCAGCTGCTGCTGCTGCGTCTGCTCTGCTGCTGCAGCAGCAGCAGCAGCTGCTGCTGCAGCTGCAGCTGCAGCTGCAGCAAACCACAAAAACTACTGCTGCTGCTATTCAGCTGCTACTACTACTACTACTACTACTCCTGCTGCTACTACTACTACCACTACTACTACTACTACGACGAATACGACGCATACGACGAATACGACGACAACTACGACGACGACTGCTAGTACTACTACTACTACTACTACTGCTACTACTGCTACTACTACTACTACTCCTACTGTGCAGCTTATACCAGCACTCCTGCTGCTGCTACTGCCGGGTACTGTGGTACTGCTAGTGGTGCAACTGCTGGTGGCGATGGTGCTGCTACTGCTTCTGCTGCTATTGCTTCATATTTCTACAACGTGCTACAACTGCGCTTTTGGACCTCAGCAAATGCCATCATAATTCTTGGTTCGGGATCGGAAGCAGAACAGGATGTCAACATTAGTGATATTGGCAGGGACTTTTATTCAATGGCGGCCAACACGGATGCAAGCACATGTTTGAAGGCTATCTTTGAAGCGACGGGTTCACATGGTCACCACTCGGAGGACCGAAATGCGGCGAGCAACTTCGTGCCTGCTGTTTGGACCTCAGACAATGCAAGTTGTCAGAATTTTGCAGGCATAGCTCTGTTCTCCTCCTAGCGACAACTTGGTCTTGCCCTGTAGTTTTTGCAGCTGTACTTCCAAGGTTGGAAACTTCAGTGTTCGCTCCCAAGATTATCTGTCAGGGCACGTGCCGCCATGTACCAGCCTCTTGACATGCAGGTGCAGTACAACTTTACTTCTGCGTCCATCGCTGTGCAAATCCTCAGTGATCCAGGAGTGCCAGTATGATGTAATCCGGCATGCCTGTACTCTGAAAGCAAGTCCCAAAGTACAAGGTGATATTGAATAGGCCTGACCATGGGTCCTCGCAATGAAGCTCCTAGAAAAATCCTTGACGCCGCGGTTAAACACAAGGTCGTCCAGTGATTGGCAAATTGACATACCAAACAAGGGCTTCGTGGCCTTCATCCTTGCAGGATACCTCGGCTACGCTCTACGAGAGGACTACAGCAATCTCCATCTGAACCTTTCCCTGCTTATCTAGCCCATCAGCAAGTAGCATCGTTGCGGAACCAGAATGCCGCAAGACCTTTGCATGCCCGGACTTGAGTGAACGAAGATCATTTAACCACGGCGTTCCTCACGTGAGTTGCAGGAGCCAAAGTGGGCCCAGGCTTTGACCTCAGAAAATAGATCGTTGTCGTGTTGTGCATGCGTGCATATCTTTCTCAGGACGTAACTTTAGCAAGTGTTTTCTTCGGGGCCATGATCGGGATGCTGGTCATGGGAAGTGCGGGGCTCATTTTGCAAGCAGAAGTTTGGCAAAGCTAAGCCTCGTAAGGGCTTGGTGACATGATTGGTCGAAGCTGCGCAATGAAGGCGCAGCAGAGCATGCCTCTCGTCGCGGGTCAGAACTGTCAACTGTAACTAGCTATCATGTCCCTCAACTTTTTTTGGAGAGATTCCTACCAAAATGCTGACATACAGAGCAAATAGTAGATTAGATGGAGCTCCCCTGTGCATGATGCCAGGTGACCCTTTCCTTCACTGTACTTGGCTCGTTGGTGCCAGCCTGTGCCTTCGGTGGCAGTGATGCCACGTGCGCCACCCCTGCCAGGAATGTGTCCTTTTTGTGCAGGCAGCTGCTGTCAAACCATTGGAGCGCCCTTGTGCCAGGTACGCAGTGGTGTCTATGGGGCGATTGATCCTAGGGCTAGGTGTAGGCGGGCTTTGAAAAACCACCACTTCCCCTACAAGGACAGACAGAAGCAGCTTGGTCTGGGTGCAGGTGGAATTTATCCTCTTTCTGCTGTCGAGGGATGCGAGGCCAGATTCATGATGCGCTGCATCCGTACTCTATGTGTAAAGGCTTCTGTTGTTACTTGCGCAATTTTTCGCTCGGAGTTTGCTGTTCTCTCCCCCTCAAGCGCCTGAACAGGAGCAATCTGCTCGCGGGAAGCATGTAGGGCAGGCCGGGTCCGCGGCATGCACCCTTTGCGTTTTTTTGGTGCGCCTGAGTTCGAGTTTAAGAAGCAAGGAAATTTCTGGGGTTTTGGTGAAGTGAAGTGGGTGTTCAAGAGCCATGCTTTCAGATCGATTTTAGAGACCCGCAGCGTATGCTGGGAGGCTTTCTTCTTCCAGACCCTGGGCCAGCTTGCACCGTATGCCTCATGCTCAGGAATGTACGGTTTTTGGGATGGGGGGATTTTGAGGTCATTTGCCTGTGAGACGTGGGCAGATTCATAGAGGACTCAAAAGCCTCTGTGCGACTGAGTTGGTCGCCATGCTTCTGCTGGGGGTGATCCAGCCTGCCACCCCGGCCGAGTGGGTTACGGCCCTGTTGCTCTGCTTGCTGCGGGCTGCGGCCGCTCTACTTGTGTAGCATGGTCTGTTGTCGCCTCACGGACCAGGACAAGCAATCGGCAGGGCCGTGATTAGCATGATCAGCATCCAGTTCAGGTGCCGCAGCTTCAGTTTCGGCTGCTCTTTGCGCTGGGTGCGGCATGAGCCCCAAGAAAGTGATGCCACTGGAAAGGAGAATTTCATGTTTCAAGGTGCTTGTGCTGCAGTGAGACAGGTGCCCGTTCCGCCGCAGGTGTTTTAGTTTCAGGTCTTCATATTTCCCGCTCAAGCTGGGCCAAGTCCAGCTTTGCGGGAATCATTTCGTGGGCTGTGCCGATTGGGGAGTGTCCATAAATCAGGAAAGGCGAGAGACCTGCAGCAACAACAGGCTGTCAAGGTTTTCGCTGCCAACGCTCATGTTCTTCTGGACCAGCGGCTTGGCTTGAAATGGCTT